GCCCCGCATCGGGCTCCCTGCTCCACGGGAAGCCTGCTTCTCCCTCTCCCACTCCCCCTGCTTGTGTTCCCTCTCTCGCTGTGTCTCTCTCTGTCAAATAAGTAAATAAAATCTTAAAAAAAAAACAACAAAATAAAATAAAAATAGTTATCATGGTAAATTTTGTTATGTATATTTTATCACAATAAATAACTTTATTTATTTATTTATTTTTACTTTTTTTTTTAAAGATTTTATTTATTTATTTGAGAGAGAGAGAATGAGAGACAGAGAGCATGAGAGGGAGGAGGGTCAGAGGGAGAAGCAGACTCCCTGCCGAGCAGGGAGCCCGATGCGGGACTCGATCCTGGGACTCCAGGATCATGATCTGAGCCGAAGGCAGTCGCTTAACCAACTGAGCCACCCAGGCGCCCTATTTTTTTTCTTTTTTAAAGATTTCATTTATTTATTTGACAGGGAGAGACACAGCAAGAGAGGGAACACAGGCAGGGGGAGTGGGAGAGGGAGAAGCAGGCCCCCCATGGAGCAGGGAGCCCGACGTGGGGCTCGATCCCAGGACCCTGGGACCATGACCTCAGCCGAAGGCAGACGCTCAACCGACTGAGCCACCCAGGCGCCCAATAAATAACTTTTTAAATGGAAAAACAATTTTTTTTTAAAGATTTTATTTATTTATTTGACAGAGAGAGAGAGAGCGAGAGCAGGAACACAAGCAGCGGGAGTGGGAGAGGGAGAGCAGGCTTCCCGCCGATGAGGGAACCCGATGTGGGACTCGATCCCAGGACCCTGGGATCATGACCTGAGCCGAAGGCAGACGCTTAACGACTGAGCCACCCAGGCGCCCGGAAAAACAATTTCTTAAAAAAAGAAAGTGAACTAAAGATACAAGGGCCCCAGTTCATGACCCCAAATCAGCTACAAAATGGGTCCTTTTTCTTCCTTCCTTCCTTCCTTCCTTCCTTCCTTCTCTCTCTCTCTCTCATTGAACTATAATTGACACATAACATTGCCTGTGTTTGAGATGCACAACATATTGATTGGATACATTTATACTGCAATACAACTGTCATTGTAACATTAGCTAATACCTCTCCAGGACTTATTTAACTGAGTGGGTTTCTTCTCACTAAATTCAAGCAAATTGTTGTTTTGTCCATCGGGTTGAGGTCCCATCACTGGCTCCCCTGCCTGGAGCCTGACTGAGGGCTTTGGCCCAGCCAGGTTGTTGCAAATACACATTTCAGCCTAGTCCTTCTGCCTGCTGGGAAAAGAAGGACCCAGGAGGTGGATTCTGGATGCTGTCGGGAAGCAAAGGGGGAGAGGTAATTTTCTTATTGAGGGTCTTAGTTTTTATCAGAAAGTCTAAGGAATGAAGCAAGAGTAAAGCTGTCAGTGGTAAAAGGACTGTAACTCAGACTATCCAGGAAAAGTGAATGTCTGGTTGCTGCTGTGGTTTGGACAATGCTCATGTTTTGCCTGCATTCAGACATGATCATGGAGTAAGCTTGTTTTGTCTTGTTCCACCACGGTCACGGAGTGGCCTTGTCCATTGTTGGCATTCTGCGAAATTATTTATGTCCCACAGGAGAACACCAGGGCTTAGCTGGGACCGCCAGGCCAGCTCCTAGCAACTCCAAGGCCAGCTGTGAATACCAGGCTATCTCCTGTCTCTCTCAAAGGTCAAGCTCAGCCCTAACCAGATGGTGGAAGACGCTGGGAGGGCTGGGCAGGGCTTGCAAGACTCACTGCTGTCTGCTTGGTGCCTGGCACAGGGCCTGGCTCTCAGTAGTCACTCAGAGAAGTGCACTGTGTGATTACGAAGGTGTCAGGGACAGCATGGGCTCCAGGGAAGGGACCTAGCCACTCAGGCAGCAGCAAGGTCTACAGCCCCAGACCCTCTTCCCTCTGCAGGCCTTGGGCTTGGCATGGATTTTTTTTTCTTCTGCAGTAACAGTGTCCCTAGTTGGGGCGTGGGGGCGCACAGATGCCTGTGCCCAAGTCTTAAGCAAGGAGGGCTGTGGTCAGATGTGGTGGTCAAAGAGTCTCTTGACTCCCCATCTGAGATGTTGTAGGGAGGCAGACTTGGGGGGAGGCGGGGCTTGGGGTCCAGGGCTTGGAGAGAGGAGGGGGGCTGCCTATGAAAGGGGCTGTTGGCCAGGAGCAAGTGGATGGATTCAAGTGTCATTTTGGTGACTGTTGGGATGTGGGAGGGGCGTGTGTGGAGAGAAAAAGGCAAGCCAGGTCTGTGACTGGTGGGGCAGCCCTGAGATGGGGACACAGGAGAGCAAGATGTTCTGGATGATGCTGGGACATGTTGAGTGTGGGGATGGGGTTGGGAGGATGCTCAGGGAAAGTGTCCAGGGGGCAGGTGGGAGCAGGAGTCAGGTCAGGACTAAAGAGGCATGCGGGAGAGGCCAATGATGAGGGGGCCAGGGAAGTCGTGGGAGTAGATGAGGTTTCCCAGGATCATGTGCACAGAGTGTGAGCACAGAGCTTTGGGCCGGGAGCTGAGCCCCGAAGGTTATGGCACTTATTGAGAAACTATTTTGTGCCAGGCTGTGGGGACATAGCTATGACCAAGACAGATCAAAGTCCTCACATTCTGTTGAGAGACACGTAACTAGGCAGCTAGATAAAGAAGCGATATAGTTACATTAGATAGTATTCCAAACTTAGGAGGAAAATAAGACAGCAAGAAATGTGGGTAGGAAGTGCCCAGGAGGGTGTGATGGGGAGGTCCAATGAGAAGATGATGTTCGAGTAAACGTGAGGAGGACGTGAGGGAGGGGGCCGTGTGGGAATCTGGAGGGAGAGCATTCCAGGCAGAGGGCACAACCAATGCAAAGGCCCTGGGGCAGGAGTGTACTGTAACTTCAAGGACCAGGAGGAAGGCAGTGTGGTTGGAAAGAAGGGAGCGAGGCAGGAAGAGTCCTGAAAGTTGAAATCAAGGGGCAATATTTTGCAAAAGGCAACCAGTCGACATCATGGTCATTAGGGAAATACAAAACAAAGCTATAGTGAGATACCATGTCCCACCCAGCAGGATGGCCATAATAATAAGGCAATAATAATAGTAATGAAGCAAAATAAAAGTGTTGGCAAGAATGTGGAGAGTGTTGTGCATTGCTCCTGGGGATGTCAAGTGGTGCAGCCAACGTGGAAAACAGTCTGGTGGTTCCTCGAAAAGTCAAACATAGAGCCACCCTATGACCCAGCCATTCCACTCCTGGGTGTCTACCTAAAGGAAGTGAAGTTGAAGGCAGGGACCTGAACAGATACACACATGCCCACGTTCACAGCAACATTATTCACAGTCGCCAAAATTTGGAAACAACCCAATGGTCCATCAGTGGCTGAATGGATAAACAAAATGTGGTAGATCCATACAAGGGACTATTACGCAGCCACAAAAGGAATGGAGTATAGATATAAGCTACAATGTGGATGAGCCAGACACAAATGGTCACATATCACATTATTCCGCTTATATGAAATATCCAGAATGGGTAAGCCCACCAAGACAAAGCAGATGGTGGTTATGGGCTGGGGTAGGGAGGGATAGATTAACTGCTTGCCAGAATTACAGGGTCTCCTCTGAGGGTGATGAAAATGTTTTGAAGCTTAAAAGGGATAGTGTTGTAAATGCCACTGCATTGTACATCTTAACACAGTAACT